GCTCTGTGTGGGTCTGTCAAGACTTGTCTTCAGTGGCAGAGAGATGTTCTTCTTCTATTTGCTTAACTTCTTGACATAAACTCTAGAAAAGATTAAATATAAAAAGGACAGTTTAGCACCGGTTAAAATGAATGCAGTACTGGTGTTTGTTTTTTTTCTCAACCAGTTGCATGGTAGGGTAGAACCTGTAAAACCTTGTCTTTATTGGGGAGTTGTACTGAGGGCACTTGCCTATATGGTACTCTGTACGCTGTCTTTTGCTGTGAAGACAAAAATGACACAATGTATACAAGTAGAATACAGAAGAAGAAGGAACGAAAAGGCAAGATATGGTTTATTCCCTAACTACTTTGCAAATACATAATCTTACTGAGACAAAAATGTTTTGGAAAGGACAGTGAAAACCTGCAGATGTAATTGTGGCAGTCAGTGATCTCACATCAGCATTTTCTAGCTAACAGTTGCTGAATATGACCTACACATGTTGTGACTTTTGTAAATAATTTTTAGGTTAACTTGTCCTATTCATAATTTGTGGCTTCCCCTCTTCCTTCCTTCCCCTTCCCCTCTTTCTCTTTCACAAATACTTTCGTGTTTGGAAAACCAATTTTTAAAAACGCAGTCATCTCTACATGTATTATAGAGTACAATATGCTAGCAAATCAACAGGCTATTTTATAGGGAAGTATTATTTTTATACAGTGCAGTGGTATTTGTGGCTTCTCAGACTGTCACTTGATGCTTTAATTCAGTTTTTCTTACTTTTTGTTTTTATTACTTAATAAAAAGATGCCCTATCAAAATTTATTTATTGGAATGCCATCAAAGTTCTTTTTATTTGCAACATTCTCACTAGTTTATAAATATTATCATATGAAAGCTTATTTTGCATTTATGTCAGTAGATCCTGGTATCCATCTTTAGTGTTCTGTTTTATGCGGTTTTCTACCTTCACAGGTGTGCCAGGTGCTGGAAAAACAAATACAGAGGCAGGTCCTTGCCCTGTTACACATCTTCAGCAAGAGAGGACAGTAAGGAAAGGAGTTCACAGCTAAGTGGTTGCATACATTCTGCTCAGAGCAGCCACAATAATTTTGATACTGTTTTAGCTTTTTAATACATATTTCATCTGTGAAATTTTAAACTGATAAATCTTTTTCATGAGATGATGGGAGGGTACTGTGTGTTAAGCTGGTCTCTGACCCCTGCCATTTCATGAATAAAAAATGACAAGTAACCATTTGCCTCACTCAATAACATGATTAATCACAACAGTGATTTACCAATTTCACGTGTCTTTATCTGCATCAATGTTCCCTGTGGTAAGGTGCTGTGTCAGTCAGTGAGAAATGCAGTGCAGATACTGGACAGGAATGCAGTTTCCAACCAAAATGCATTCCACCTAGAAGTAGCTTTTAGGGTAATTTAGGGTTATTATTAAATATTATAGCTTTTATTCATGTATTTGTTGCCAAGAGTGGCAACAAACTGCATGAAGTGCATTTGTTGGTCATGAACAGTTTATATAAGAATGGTGTAATGATTGTGAGTGGTGTTCAGCAAGGGGGTCAGAATCACTCCAGTCTCTTTCTGCTACACAACACCTAATATCATCTCTATTTGCAAATTCAATACAATGACTCACAAGGACAGGAAACCATAAACAAGAACGTAAAAAAGGAGGGCCTCTGGAACATACTGGGAAAGCATTAGAAATTACCATCTCATTCCTGTTGTGATGTCAGTCCTAAAGACTACATGTAGTATCATTAGTAATAGTAAAGTATATCTCCAGATATGCAGAGCATCCAGAAGACTGACAACATAACATGTACAAGAGTTTATTCTGCTAAAACTTAAAGCCTAAGTAAACAAGTGGTAGAGATGGTATGTGCAAATGCATACAGAGAGTTGGGAATAGAACCCACCTCACCTAAGTCCCTTTTCCCTAATGTAGACTCCGTATGGCTTTCCTTCATCAGAGTTTATGTACAGAGTTGTGTGTTTGGTATAAAATCCACCAAAATTAACAGGTGGGGAGAATTTTGATGATTTTACCTCATCTCCAACATATCTTAAACCTCTGGGTGTGTGGATTTGGATTCATCTTGTTAAGCTTTGGAAGTCTACGCTGTAGTGGATTCTCCTAGTACATTGTTCATCAGGTCAGGTTTAGATGGTTGCTTTCATGCAACTCGTGTTACTACAGCAACTTGGTTGAAGTAAGGTCTAGAAAACTACTGCAGATGTAGAAGCCAATACAATAGATACCTAAAGACTGGTAAGAGGTATTGATCTCCAGTGCTAATTGCCATGTCTAGAGCTTCAAAACAACTCTCCATAGGGAGTCCTTGTATAGTACACATTTTAGGTGCTTAGCACCTTTATATTTTGGATATGGGTAAAGAAGTGAGTAAGCTTCACTTAAACCTCCTGAGGGTCCTGATCCATTAATTGTGCTCTTGATTTCACATGTTAGAGATGGCCAACATAAGCACAACTATCATAATTTTCTTTTTTAAAACTGCTGGTGAAGAGAGCATTTGAGCTTAGTTTAAACACTCTGGATACTCTGGTGACAAGTAAGTAGTTTTTAGGATTTATGATACTTTTTTTCCTCATTCCAGTAGATACCAACATGATATGCATCAATATGAAAATACATGAATAGTTAAATACACCATTGCATCTATTTGTCTGGTTCCACTTTGTAGCCTTGAGTCTTTGTCTTCAGGACAGAATAATTATCATAATAATTCTAAGAAAAAATACTGTTGAAAGTTATGGGGAAGAGGGTCCATCTATAAGGAACAGTAACTGGTTCCTAGTGCTACAAGGTGTATTGAAGTGTATGTGTTATCTTAAAATTTCTTATTATAATAGCTGAGAGTATCTGCTTGGTTTAAAGAGAAGGCAGAGCAGTGGTCCTGTTACTCAGCAGTCTTGAGGACTAACTCTGTGTGAATAGCAGTGATTTAATAATAGTTTCTAAATAACGCCATATTTCTTTATAAGGAGCCTTTTAAAACTTTAGAACTCTGAGAATCCAGAAAGCTCATTTTTAATGTCCTCATCCTGCTCTTTTTCTAAATGACTTCAATGGTATTGATAATAAATTTGATTTTAGTCATTATTGGCCAGACCTATAGGATGTTTTGCTGAATTCTGTATGAACATACATACATACATATGCATGTGTGTTCCTCCAGCACTTAGTACAGCACTTGAATGAGTGCTGATCTATGTAAACCATTGTCCTCTGTATAAAGAGAATTCAAAGCCTTGATGAGTGGAATCCTTTTCTATAAAAGCAGCCTATTTAAATCCAATTAGTGTATCTTGTTGTTCCTATGGTTATGCAAATAGATTGAACTTTTATCTTAAACAATGCCTTGCACAAAGTGATGTTGAGATTGGATCACTCATAGAACCCAGGCACTATTAAGTGATCATTATTTATCATGCAGTATAATGTGTTTTATTGATGTGTGGTGTGGTAGGTATACATACTTCTTCCTTATAATGTGTGGGCCCAGTATTAGCCAGTGAGAACAATGTGTTATGTAAAAAGTAAGAAGAATCTATTAAAAATGCCTACTGTATTATCCAAAGGAATTAGCATTTGCTAGATTGCCAGTCAGCCAAGGTTTTACAAGAGTTATTGTCATTTTGATTTTTGGATGAGTCATTTGGTACATTGCCCCCAAAGGCACCTCATTATGATTCAGTGCACAGCATATAAAATTGCTTAGGCTTTTGGGGCTCCATGGAAAGCGAGTGGGGGTTGTGGTGGCTCAGCGTTGTGAAGCAGCAGCATTATGCTTAATTGACACCTTTGATGTAGCCCTAAGACAGCACCTGCACCTCCCACTGCTGCTCTGAAGACGTCAGCCTTACGCAGAAAAGGCTTCTGCTTATGAATCCTGCATCGCATTCAGCTCACTCTGTGAGCAGCCCCAGCTATCCTTAACTAATCCCATTGCTTCTCAGTTTGGCTACAGCTTGGCTTAGTACAGAGTAGGAATTTTGCTGCTTGCTGTTATCAGGTTAAACACTAGGATTTTGCCCATGTTAGAGCTCATAGAAGGTAAGTCAAATGCCTTATTGATATCCTAATTATGTAAATATTCTCCTAAGATTCAGAATGTGGGATTCTGATTGTTGATTCTTTTTGTCCTGGTGCTTGCAAATGTGGACTGTGATAGTTACTTGTTTAAGAATATTTACATGTATATGTGATACACGCTTTGTAGTGTTTCTATCAGTGCTTCAGTGTGAATATTGATAGCCGCTCGTGTGATTACTTTGTAGTAGAATTCTGTCCTCTGCTGGTATTGTTTTGTTAATTTAGTGGATAATGTCATATGCATGCGAAGATGCTTCTAAAAAGATAGGCACTGAGATATATGAAGAAACTTACTTATTTGAGAAAGTGATACTTTCCTGTAGGTCAGACTGGAGGAGTTATATCCAATTTACTTGCCTCTAGAAAGCCCTTCTGGGTTAGGTCTAAGGTAATGTTTGGGTCAGATAGTATTGCAATAATCTCTTTAAATGAATGAGTGAGGAAAAACAAGCAGCTGATTTGTTCTTGCAAGCAATCCTGTATTTTATTTTTAGTGGGTAGCACTTCAAAACATAGCTAAATGGAATGAAAAGGTTTACATATCACAAGTGTCTTTTAATGTTAACAAAGCACCTCGTTCCCCATCACTTTCAAGTACAGGAACAATGCAATTTAAGAAAACACAATCATGTTCTCTGCCATTGACTGAAGTCTTTTCAGGTTTGTGAATTATTTGCTTTCACTCTGTATAAAAATTGTCTTCATGAGCTGAAACTCTAAGGAAACAGTTCTTTTGTGAGTTACCTTATTTAATGGTTAAAACATTAAGCAAAAGTGAATTAATCTGTTCAACAAAGAATGCAAAAAAAATGTTTCTTTTTTTGTTCCTTTAATAATGCCTTGTATTTATTTTTTCGATTTCTCGTCCTTCTAGTAAATGGAACCCCTGGTAGCCAGCTTTCTACTCCCCGCTCTGGGAAGTCTCCAAGCCCATCTCCCACCAGCCCAGGAAGCCTACGGAAACAGAGGGTAAGGAAATAAGGAAACTGATTTCTGAGCATGACTGGAGAGAATCCTGCTTAGCCATTATCCAATAGCCTTCTCCCCTCTGATTCTTTGTGTGTGTGTGTAGAGCCATAGGGTGGAAGAGCCTGGCTATACAGTCCTTGATGTGTTTGTAAAACACTACAGTGGAATACAACTGTTCTGTGTCTGTCAAAATACTAAGTATGCTGGGAATTGGTTTATCCTTGAGGGGGAAAACAGGGGTTGTCTCTCTCCTTTTTTAAAGACTTTTTGTTTGTTTGTTTTACTTTCTTTTTCCAAACATTTCACAACTGGAAGGAGATGTTCACATCATCAAAGACATTTTTTTTCCCTAACTACCATTGTGTCACTTGCACAACCTTCAAACAGCTTTGATTTTGAAACAAGGTGGAAGAATGCACTGTGGAATTTAGTTGTTATATCAGAGGCTTGTGCAGTGAAGATACTATCAGTACCAAGGAAATGTGAGACCTGTCAGTCACTTTCCTGGATGAGAGTTGCTAGTAGCTGTGTGTTCCCCCTAGTTATCATGTATGGAGGTATCTACAATATTCCTAAGCATCCAGGATTAAGGTAGTACCTGTATTACTATTGGAACCTTCTGATAAAATATCACTCATTCAACCCAAAAGGCTCCATGGGCTGATTTAATTAATCGTATCTGTTCAAAAGCAGTAGGGCAGATGTCTATGTATCTTCTCTTCTGCTATTTTCTAAACTGTAATCAGTTCTCCATGAAAGCTTCCCTAAGGCAGTACTCTGTATCTCAGACCTGTTTATAAACACAGTTTGAACACATGCTTTTTCTGCCTTTTCAGTTTTTAAATAAAGACATAATTTGTGTCTCTCAAAATAAGGGGATTACATACAAAACTGGCAGTGCTTGACTTAGGGGACCAGTGTAGACCTGATTCCCCAGATATCCAGATCAGGAATAGCTGTAGTACGAACGACTCCCTTCTAGCCTGCAGACCCTTCTTCATGTCTGATATATACCAGGGAGCTGAGGAATTGTGCCCAAGTCTTACCTGCGGCTGGGATACAGCTCTGGGTTTCTGCTATGACTTGTTTATAGCTATGGAAGCCGACTGTGATCTTGCAGTATAGAGCTAGTCAGTGACTGGGAGCTTGAAACCTCAGGGTAGTGTCATGGTTTTCATCATCTCATACACAGAGAATAAAGATGCAAGTTCCAGTTGGGTAAGCTGGTACTAAAATCTCCTTAAGTGTAATGTCTTCCACACCTGCTTGTTCTTACTCTCAAGCTTATAATGAATCATAAATAAGTCACTGAAGAAGGAACAAAGAGTCTTCCAAATGAATTATACATTGGTGATGTGAAAGCGTCTGCTTAAATGGATGATACCAGTATACAGTGGATTTGCATTTGCTGTAAGGCTGTTGCTTTTCATTGGTAACTTTCCTAAGCTTTCTTTCTCACCACTGATGCTTCTCTCTTCACAGTGAAGAAATGTTTATCTGTTAATGTTTGTGGATGTGTGAGTGGGATCCAGCACCATTAGACACGAGGGGTTTCTAGCCACATGGTTTCTGACTTTCAAATGTGGAGAGGAGAACAGATGGGCTTCTTTTTACTTGTAAGTGTAACAGGATCACCTAGTGGCAGTATTTGGATGTAAAAGGCTGTGTAATGGTAACATAATCAGATTGCTAACTGTATAGAAAATAAATATTGAAGCAAACTACAGGAGAGATAAGACATTGTTAAAGAGTTGAATTCCATTCTCAGATATTCATATTCAGTCCCCATGACCTCAGAAAATAGATTGCAATCATGTAAAATGCATTGCAATAATATTATTTAGGTTACAAAATCAACTTCTCTGAAGTTCAGTGATGGAAACTTTACACTTGGTCTGAGAATTTATTTCATCTGCTTTCATGTTTAACTTGTGAAGTGAATGAGCTAGAAGTTCAGTGTAAAAATATATGGTTGTGACATTAAAGGTTATAATTTTAATATAAAAACCCCATAAATAATATAACATAATATAATATAACATATAAATAATATAATTATAAAGGTTATAAATTACAATTAATAAAATAGGCATTAAACAGTGCTTACTAGTCATAATTTTATTGTTAGCAGTATAAATTATGTTCTGTTTACTTTAAGTACCATATTTTGTGTGTTGCCATTTAAATTTTATTTAAAGGACAGGTTGTTTTATGTACTATATTGTCATAAACCAAATTTGAACCCAAAGCGTTTTGCTTTGTCTTCATTGGCTTCAGCTACAGGGCTGACAAATCAGCTACAGGAGGAGGTTTATTCCCTAGAAGGTTGTTAAATGCTGGTATCATGTGACAGACATAGAGGAGAGAAGAGGAGATTGATTTAAGTGCCCATCTTGTCCCCAGTGTTGAGAGGTGAGGTATTCCTACCTCAAAAGAAGAGTGTCGGCTGCTAGAGCCACAGTCTGGGGTTGAGGGTGATGGCTGGGCTTCTGACTGGTCTGGCTTTCTCTCTTTACCTGGAGTTTGAGGGATCTACTGCTTTAGAACTGAAATAATTCATCTCAACTGTGCAATTTGGGTTTCCCTTCACCTCTCTCTGCGCAGTTAGAGTAGTGCTTGTTCCCTCATGTCATCAGGTACGTGGGGTGCCAGTGGTAGGTACTGGGTCTGGAAGGCGATAGGGAACATCTACTCAAGCATAACCTGGTTCCCCTTGACATAACTAATCAATCAGCTCTTCAGCATCCCCATCCAAGTGGTATGGGGGAGTTTAGGCTTGGGATGTCAATGCTGAGGAGTCTAGGCAGGCTACCAGTGTTTTTCCTGGAAAGTACAGGTGAGAAGAAGTTATGCTTTTGAATTCAGAGGCACAGAAGCAAGATAATTTCACAAACTTAGGGATTTGTCCCTGGGAATAGTAAAGACCTGTGGAGTGCATTAGGTAACTTAAAACAGGGATTAATCAGCTTACTTACTGACATTTTATCACTCACCTTTTTAAAAAAATAAATACTGGCCTTTGATGGAAGGCTTTCCATTGATATAAATAAAGCCAAAAATGCTGCTGTGGTACATACTCATGAAAACAGTACTCTTGTAATCTCACAGGTAAAATTTTCTACCCTCAGAAGTGAGAATATAAAAAGATAAAATTTATTCTTTCTCTCTTGCATATGTATGTGGATGAGTTGTTTCCAGAAATTCAGAAATCAGGGAAAGATATTTTTTGATAATCTTGTGTGAAGTTCAGTCTATATTTGAGGAAAGTAAGACTTGAAAGATTAATTTCATGGTTGTAATACATGGAGTTGAAAAGTGAACTAGGAACAATTTATCAGCTATCTGAGCTAACTGTCAACCAGTTTTCAGTTTCTGAGTATTTTAACTAGCAGGCTGTGTGCTATAGTTATGCTTTCTTGTAGTTTAATTATTTCTTTATATGTACTCTTAAATAAGAAATAAGGATTCTTGTTTTAAATCGGTATGTACATCATTATGTTTTTTTACAGAGACTTAAAACATTTGAAATTCAGGTTTTTAGCACTTGAAGTAGAGTTATTGTGTTGCACACATACGTATTTCCAACAGAGTGCAGTTAATGAGGCAGACTCAGAAAAGGTGACATGGCAATTACAAAAATAAATATACATAATTCCAACCCCTGCATTTTATTTAACTAGCTTTTGTAATAGTTTCTGAGCTTATTTTCCCACTGTCTTCTAATCAGTTATTATTTCAATTAAGGTGGACATATTTTATACTTTGTACCTGATTTTCTGTTTCTTGTCATTGTTTTAAATATGTTTCTACTTCCTTAGAGTTTACAACCTATAGAATAATAAAAAATTAGATTTAAGACACCTTTTGACTATTCAGACAAATAACTTGAATTCTACATATATAGGAGTTTTTTTGAGTTGTATATGGCAGGAAGTCTGATTCATTCAGCAATTTTTTTCTTTTTATAAATCTATGCAAAATAATAAATAGATCTCCTCCTATTTTCCAGAAATACAGCTCTTTGGCTAACTGTAGGCAAAAAAATTCTTTAAGAAAATAAAACTTTTTAAAAGTTTCAAGTATTTAAAAGAAGATGAAAAAAAAAAAGAGAGAAAATGACACTGAAATCTTGTGCATGATTTTGCTTTTAAACAACCATAGAGTTATTAAAATAAACATAAAAATATTCTCTAAATGTTAAAAGTCAGAAATATCTTCTTTGTCAGTTCTCAATGCATATCTTTTTATATTCAGAGGCAAGGACAGTCACCTGGGAGATACTATTCAAAAGTTTGGAGTGCTACCCTCTTTAGCAAATCAAAAGATTTTTTTTCTGTACTATATATTAGAAATTCTCAAATTGTATATGCTCAAAAGAAATTTTAATAATTAACCAACTAATTAGTATTCAGAAGAAGATGGTCTTGTCTGTTTAAAATTCTTCTCTTGTCTGGATTGTTCTCAACAAAATAGAAATGTATTTAAAATCTAATTTTCACTCTGCCAGTCTAACGTATCTTCTACTGTGTGTATGCACACCCATTGGCAGAATACATACAGAATAAGCATTCTAGGGAATCAAAACCCCCTTTAAGGGACTTAAATCCCTTGTACACCATGCCTGCAAATAAAACATAAACCTCCATAGATTACTGAGAACCTTGTAAATTTGAAATTTTGAAGCGTTCATTTTAGCTGGTACTTGTTTTTTAGTATAGCTTTCAGATTTGTTAATTTCTTGTCTCAGTTATCTTCCTACAATTAAAAAAAAACAATCAAACCCAACCAAGGTCAACCCTAAAGCTGGCTCCATCAGTGTTCCCATTCTCATGTGTTCTTGTATTTTGTCGTACAAGTTTTTTTGTTGTATTTTGTTCATATGTTCTATTTTGAAAGGATCCCCCAAAACACCTTAAAGATATCAGAGAATGCCTGTGAGATGTGCTGGGCACCTGACTATTCAGAACCCCTCTGAACCATCAGTTATGCCTAATTCACCT